TATTAGGTGGACCGGAAAGTTATGTCGTTTGTTTACATTAAATTCAAACAGATAAATATGCGCAGAAACGATATTACTTTCCGGTCCCCCTAATATTATATTTAGCTGATACCGAGAGCGAGAGCAATGAGATATTTAACGGTGGAAAGTTACGTTCCCGCACCGCCATTTTGATTCTCTTTGCAGCCTTTGAAACAAACGTGTTGAACTGTTTTAATATTCGACATTAACGAATACGCGAAAATGTTTCGTTTTTAGAGAGCAAATTCAATTGATCGAATACGAAATATTATATTATAATATTATAATATTATAATATATAATATAATATTATAATATTATAATATATAATATAATATTATAATATATAATATAATATTATAATATTATAATATATAATATAATATTATAATATTATAATATATAATATAATATATAATATAATATATAATATAATATATAATATAATATATAATATTATATATTATAATATTATATTTGATACCAAGATTGAGAGCAACGAAATACTTACCGGTGGAAAGTTACCTTCCCGCACCGCCATTTTGATTCCCTTTGCAGCCTTTGAAACAACGCGCACGCATCATTGTTTCAAAAAAATGTTCAAAATCAAGTTCACACAGCTCGATGATCGATAGTAAATATGAGAATCTTGCCACGTCACAGTGATCATCTTTCTCGATTTTTGCAGGCCGCGCCGTGCGACGATACAGAGAGATCGTCCAACGTGAAGTGAATCGTGTTCCAGCCCTAACCAAAATTCCAAGAGACGACGAGGACGAGGACAAAATCAACGACGAGGACGATCATGAAATCTACCGTGTCATTGCAAGACAAACTGATTAAGCAGAACGGGATCAGCAGTCAGAGGCTGATGCGTGAGTTCAGGAAAATCGAGAGGACGGAGAAATCGAATCTCCGGATGATAGAAACGGAGAGGCAACGGTTTCGGTCTCGTCACAAGAACCTGGATTCGTGGAGGCTGTCGTCCGCGGTATCGAACGTAAGATTCGCAAGATCCGTAGAAACGTTTTCGTTCTCGCCTTGTTGCCTCGACCCAGCCAAGGGACGTTCTCGTGCGCGCAACAGCTGATCTCTCGATTGCCGACACAGTAATTGACGCGCAGGCTATTAACGTGCGCATGTACGAAACCCACAATCCGGGCTTCTGTTACCATTGCAACGGCGCCATAAGGGAATGCGGCCCGGCGCCCAAAGAAAACGCGGTCAGAGATTCGTACGAGTTCGTGCGCTCGATCATCTTCACCGGCGACGAGGTCGATCCACGGAAAGTCCTTTGCCTGCATCTGTTCACAGCGCACAGCGCCAGATGGAACAACAACGACGGCTCTGCCGTCAGACCCGTGATACCTTTGCTGGAAAAAGGTACGCTCGCCGCGGGAAGTATGTCGACGGCTTCTCAGAACGGAATAACTTTTTTTAAATTGGTCCGGACGACTTGAACTTTTTTTACATGATAGAGACCGGTCTGTTGAACTACAATACTTTTTTCTTTAATTTTGCTATTGCTTCGAATGCCAAAAACAAATACAAAATTCGCGTTTCTTAACTTTTTTATCCGAGCCTATAATCAAAACGGAAAACATGCATTTTCTAGATCCTGGTAACTTACATGCATGTTGATAATTTTATCGAAATCGGTTGACCTTGATATAAAGTGCAAACAATTAAAGATCGCGAGAATGGTGGTTTTGTCCCGACTTTTGACTCGACTTTGCGTGAACCGATTCCGATGAAATTTTCAGCGTGCAATATTCGTTAACAGGCTCCGTTAAGAAAGCTAAAAAACGAGAGTCTTTTTACTTTGTCTCGTCACTCCAAGTAACAGCAAAATTATAACAAAATACTTCAGCCATTGTTCGGTACACTGGTTCCTCTATCATCTAAAAAAGAAACTCAACTGGTTTGGACCAATTTTAAAACAAAAAAGTGATTTCGTTTGAGAAACTGTCGACATACTTGCAGACACGGTGAGCTGTTTGTTCTGCCCGACGATAACTCGACGAACGTGTTTCAAGCCAAAAGAAAACGGTTTTCCGGGCCGTGGAACAACGTGTTGACGTGCTACGTGGTGGACACCGAGGAGGCTTCAGCCGCTGCTACGGAGAACTTGAAGCTGCACGAGGACCCGCGGAAGAGGATCTTGGAGGAGCGAGCCGCGCACGATTTCGAGGAGAAGTGCAGACAGTACATGGGCAAGAACGACGACCTCGGGAAAGCCCTGTCGAGCACCGCGAGGAACACGAAGATCGCTCAACAGGGGCTGAGGAAGATGCCGGTGATCACGCCGCACGTGTACTCGTTGCTGGGCCCTTCTCACGAGCTGCGAATCAAACAAGCCCTGGCCGAGGGCATGTTCCGAAGGAAATTGACTCGATCCAGCATGGAGGTGAGCGGAATGGACGGTTACAGCTACTCGTTTCACCTGGACGAGGACGACGACGCCCTCAGCAGAGCGACCACCAACGAATCGAACAGAAACTGCGTCAGCAGGTCCACGCGTAGTCCGTCGAGACGGTCGACGATCGGGTCGATGAGGCTGGACCACAGGTTCACCATGTTGAAGTTGAAACGTGGCAAACCGAACGACTGCGGAGCGAAGAGCAGCGATACGAACAAAGACGCGATCAATATAAGATCGAGCTTCAGAGCGGTGAAGGACGTCTCCTCGAAGACCTCCAGCACGAAGTCCCCGTTGCGCGGTGTTCTGGGAAGCCGTCCGTCGACCTGTTCCCTTCTGTCGCTGAATGCGGACGCGACGGCCAAGATCAGAAAGTGTGTCTACTTGAACACGGCGAGCGGAACGTGGCTGGAAAAACAGGAGAAAAATCGGAGGATGGTGCCGATCCTGGTGAACTATCAGGTTCAGGCGCTGGTGCAGACGGTGCTGGAGGTGCTGGGACGCGTGAATCCCGAGAAATCGAGGATCATCGTCGAAACTGCGCGGAACACCGACGAGATAAGGAAGATGCTGCTGCAGGCCGAGATGCAGAGCTTCGTGCAGTCGCTGGTGGGTCAGTCGTTGATGACGTCCCCGGAGAGCTACGTGGTCTCGACCGCTATGGCGATGGACGAAATTGACGTTCGATTCGGCGGGATCCCAGAAAAGGAGATAGTCGCTTTGACGCTGGAGATGCCGTCGGCACCAAGCCTGGAGGCTCTAATTGCGGACATACGAAATAGCATATTCCTCGACATGGGAAAGAATGCGCGGGTCAATGGGAACACCGAGGAAATCTCATCCGATGAAAAACTGGCGAAGGAGGACGCGGCAAAAAGCGCGACTGTCGCGGCGCGGACGGCCGGGTGAGTGGAAAGTGTTCTCTCCATGAGAAATCCGTCACTCGTCCGATGCTGGGTACAAATCGGCCGAGTCGCGGCCCGTTAATCGTTTCGATCTCCTAGGCCGGACAACGCGTGCAACGCGTGCGACGCAAACGCGTCGTCGCCCGGTACGAGCAACAACGAGGAAAGTTGCGCGAAAAAATTCGCCGGAACGGAGAACAGACGAGGGGAATCTGCTCGCGGGAAGAAGAAGAAGAAGACCGAGACGACGGAGCTCGAGACGGATTCCGGTAAGCACGGTTCGTCCAACGGGGAGTCGGCCGCGTTTTTCTGTTTCCAACGAAACGACAAAGGTATTATGCAAACGGAGGGAAAGTCCGGCGAATACGGTATCGCGGACGCGAAGTCTGGACGAAGTCTGACGGCGAGCTCGTTGACGAAGACCGACGAGCATCGGTTATCTTCAGGAAACGTTCCCGCCAAACGTCCAGCGAATGCCAAAGTGAGTTTTTCGCAATAAGCTGAGGAAAAAAGGATTATTGCACCGGCACGGCCGCCGTTTGAAACCGCCGTGAAATATTCAGGGGGGAAACGATCTGATAACGAATATTTTTCCTATTCCGCGTGTGGTTACAGAGTTGGAAAGCTGCCCAGGATCCCGGCCATTTGGACGCTGATCATGTAATATTGCGAAGAATGACGAACACTCAGAGAATTTTAGTCGGACAGATGTGTGCCTCTCTTAAGAGCAAGAGAATTAATAATCAAGGTTCCCGTCGGGTTTAATCGAATTCCTTCGTTGGGTTCGCGTTCGCGGGCCGCGTTGTGAATTCATTCGAAATTTTGCGCGCAGGCTTAATTAACGAAAGCGTGCCGCTGGCAGCGTTGATCGCCCCGGTCCTTTCCAGGGACAGTATCAAGATTTTGACACGGGGAACGACGTACTCGCAAACGATCAATCTGACGAGGCAGCAAGAAGAACCCGAAGAAAATGTTACCGTGCCGGATAAGATAACGGGTCTTCTACTGGCTAAGGTCAACAGTTGCGAACATATACATATCTGTTAATTTGTAAACGATCGACCGAAGATCAATTGCGATCTGCGCTTTCACCAGATACGCCAAGATGTTGCGGAAACCGAAACGAAGAGACGCCTGAAACGGTTCTTGGACAGCTGGACTGCTAAAGAAAAGTGTCGCGACGATCAGTAACATTAGAATCGACAAACAGACGTATAACTATTTCATGAAAATACATATACATGTACAAAGGGTTATTGATCTCAAAATGTTCACGATATTAAAATATTAAATTTAATATTTCATATTTATATTTAATATTAAATTGCCATAATTACTTATATATTTATGTTTTTTCTTTTTTAAATAGTACGTCTAATGAAAACGCTGTCACCACGCGGCGACAAACGCCTGAACTAAATCTGCCGCATTTGCACAATGCAGGGTCGTTGAAAAAATGTAATAGATCAAATAGATCTATAGATCGAAGCCTCTTTAGGTAGATTAGGTTAGATCTATTTAATAGATCTAATTAGATCGAATTTAACTTTCTTGGTTTCCAAATGTTCATAATGATCCCCTACATCGATCCGATATCTGAAATTGCTATACATAATTTGTATTTATTTATGATGTCTGTATATTATCAATTATTGGTAATTTTGTTTAGCAATTTGAGCGTTTCTCCAACTCTCGTCGCTGAGACTTACTAGCAGTCGATAATATCGACATGTGTGTATAGTTATGGATGCATTAAAAATTGATTATTGTGGCGCTCCTGTCTTCTGCGCTCGACACCAAATGGATACCTTCCAGTAAGGGTTGCCAACTGTGGGGGATTGGCTCCGGCATTCGACGTCAGGTGGATTCTCCTTTCCCGCAAGTAGCCAATCTGTTTCAGTTTATATATATATATGTATACTGTTTTCGCCCGTCCTTTCAACGTCCTCGCGTCTAAGGTGGGGCTCGCTTCCTTTTCTTTTCCTCCATATTCCACGATTATTTAACATATTGTAATTCCTTTAGAACTACTTACTACTTACATCTTAAAACCGCCACATTGTGCCTTTTGGGGTAAGGCTGTCGTAATACTCGAAAAATATCTAAAATAAAGCAGTAATACGTATACTGTAATATGTAATACGTAACAGTAATATTATTATTACTGTAATTATTACTGTATATTATTACTGTAATATGTATAGAGTAATATGTTTACTGTACACGAAGAACAGTTTATTCGGATCACTCAGCATGTTCAACTGTAGCAAACTACTTGAAATGCGTCCGAATTGCTCGCTTACATTCGAGCCGCTCACTTACATTTCAAGCCGCCCGATTTCTTTTGAGCTACGCGATTCTTTCGAGTCTCGGCTCGGATCGATCGTTCGAGCCGAGTAATACCCGACTCGTGTTTTGCGAGTACTCAAACAGCTTTATCTTGGAGGAATTGGTGTAAAATTTATAGTAGCTAATGCGTGGTCGTATAATTCTTACAATTAGAAGCTACTGCTAGTAGCGTTTATGGAATTGCTAGTATTTCAAACTAGGTTGGTACGATTGAATACAACAATCAGGTGATCAACGCCACGCAGTCGCGGTTGCGATACTGCATAGGCGTAAAGCAGCTAGCTGCAGCTGTAAGTAAACCCGTAAACTCGCTGCTCACTGCCATACGTACCTCATTGAAAACAGTGATATTTTCGAGATGAAACATTGAGAATTCAACGAAAGTGAAACAGTGTGCCGTTGTTTGTTGTTGGAAGAACTCGGACGGAGAGACATCGTTGTGTAAAACTATGTCCGCCGATATACGAAAAGTATATCAGATGTGTCGCAGTGTTCGTGTAAGATGTCTGTGTTGAACATTTCTCGGGCGCATCGAAACACATGTTCACATGTTTATACAAAATAGCGCAACAGCTTCGTTTAAACGCATCAATTCGAACGTGACAACCAAATTACTTTCGAGCGTGAAGCGCAATACACGTAACACGTAACTATTTACCAAACAACCTCTCTCTTGAAGCCCGTAACACAGCCTTGACAACAAACAATATACGTACAATCAGCTTTCGACACCCTCGGTTCGTTACCAAGAGACCGGCAAAGATGTATCAATTCAAACCGTTCGTGTTTAAAAAGCACGAGGCGAGCAGTGTCGAGTGTCCAAAACCAAGAAGTGGGCACAGAATAGTTTGTGATCATAAGTACTTGTATTCTTATGGTGGTTTCAATCCATGCATATCTGACAGCGATCCTGACATGCAAAACGATCAAGCATGGACATCGAGTAAACCACTGTTCAAGGAATTATGGAAGTTCAACCTCGTTTCACAGCAATGGAGCCGTCTGCAAGGTCAAGATAGTATGCCCAACGAATTGGCATCCAACGCTGTTATTTTAATTAGGAACAAGTTAATAATTTATGGTGGAACCGGTGTACCTTTCGGTTCCAGTTGTAGTAATAGTCTTTATTTCGGCAATCTAAAAAGTGGTAAAATATTTGAACTTCCCGCATCCGGAGATCTACCAGATCCTCAATACGGACAAGCTATAATTCGCCATGGATCTTATTTGTATACCGTCGGTGGTACAACGGGATATGAATACACTTGTGACATTCATAGATACGATTTTAGATGTGGTGTGTGGGAGAAAGTTTACATATGTTCTGGAAACGATGAAAACGAGCCTACAGGACGATATAGACATGAACTAGCATATGATGGAAAACTTATATATGTTCTGGGTGGAGGAACAGCCATAGAATCATTTGGTTTCTCAGTAAGTATAACAATTCTGTTATTTAAACTTTTGATAAACTATTCGTTGCCTTGTATCTGTACTCAGGAAATTCCTGCTTTCGACCTAGAGATGAATAAGTGGATAGTATTAAATACATATGGTGATAACGAGGCTGATGCAGATACTTCGGTACCAGAGCCTAGACGTTGCCACGGTTCTGTGCAATACAGAGATGAGAAGACAGGAGCCATTTCGGTTGTAATTTCTGGAGGATACAACGACGAACATGTCTTCTCCGATGTTTGGAGATTAGATTTGAGCGTACTGCAATGGACCTGTTTAAGGAAATGTATATTACCATGTCCTCTATATTTTCATTCTGCTGCCCTAACTCCGGAAGGACGCATGTATATATTTGGCGGTATAATAAAAAATAACAATGAGGTCATTAAAAATTGTATTATCTGTTTGATCAGCCATTCATTAAAGATTTTTATGAAACAAAATTTTTTATTACAGGTGGCAAGAACAGATGCTGTACATTCTGTGTGGTTGAAAATCCCAAGGTTATCGGAGATATCTTGGGAGGCGTTAATTAGTTACTTTCCACATCTATGTCGTACATCGCCACACGAACTGCTTCTCATAGGTATACCATTAAAATTCGTGCAAAGAATTGATTTTCCTTAACTTTGTTATTTATTGTATGAATATTGTAATTGTTGATCATGAACTGAATTACACGAGCTACAATACTTCTCTAATGTAATACCGACAAAATAGACTTACTTCTTGTAATAATATTATGTTTGCGGTTGACTAATACGTAATTGTTTGTTTCGGGAGTTTTATACTTACAGCTGACACTTTTATTCAATTTGTTAGAAAAAATATATATATATGTGTAAAAAAATATATATATATTTACTGTACAAATTGTTTGTAAAGATTCCTAAATCTAGTTCATACACAAAGTATATTTTTGCAGTAGAAAACTGTGCGCTAATTTAAAATTATATTTACAAAAAAAATGTGAGAATTGTAGAACTTTTACGTTCCAGTAAATCGATAAACAAAGGCTGCGCATTTTTATGTCGACATCGACGGAGAAGTAATTGAACATTTATTTATTGTCTGTGGCGTTAATTTTTTAACAACTACGAGTTGGTCTGCAAAAGGAAATAAAATAGCGAGCATGATGGTTGATTTTTCGCGTTGATGATCGTCTCCTCTTTTGCAGACTAAGTGTCGTTGACGAATAAACTGTAGTGTTATGTTAAAACGGTCGCGCGCGACATATTCTTGTTAATAAATCGACTAAAGTATATTTATGCGGTGAATCTCTGCGTGGGAAACCAAGTCAACGCAAGGTTTAAATGAACAAAAAACAGATATAAATAATATTATCGCTTCTTCTTCTTCTTCTACTTTGGCACAAAGGTAACTCAAAATACACGATAAACGTACGTTGCCTTTTTCTGCATTTACAATTTCTCTCGAGCAGAACTTCGTATCAGGCAAAATACACTTGCGTACCAATTACAGAGTACAAAGTAGTTTAAAAAAAAAGGATTACTTTGGTCAGCACTGAATAAATAGCGTCTATTTATTATTGCTAAGGCACGGAAATCATTTAACGCTTGGACAACGATGTTGAGTCTGCCCGAGTTCACAAGATTCTCGTTTACTTAATTTGTTGTATGATAATTTGATCATTTAAACTATTTGTTGTTCGTTGTTTTTATAATATTTCTCAAATAAACGTGTCACAAAATGCATTTATAATAGAGCCTCCGTAGCGTCGCGTATTGACGACCTGTTTTACAGCGTCATACTTCTACCCCAACTATCCCAGTGGTGCGTGAGCCTTCAAGAATGAAAAGTTTTCTGTGATTATCTCTCTCTCTCTCTCTCTCTCTCTCTCTCTTTCTCTTTCTCTTACTCTCTAACTGGAGTGAAAGCATAATTTGTTTTCTTCCAGCGTCGCGTTGTGTCTCTCCCAGTTGCGCGATGTTGTGGAGGAAGCATAGTTTAATTAATTCGTAATTAAATTTTTACTGGAAGTAGCATATAATAATTAGATCGCAGATCTTTATGTATTAATGATTCATAAAATTCTTTTATGTTCTCCACAAGGAAATTCTTGAGCAACGAACGAGATTTTTACTGTATTCTTGTAAATGATTTAGAGGGAATATACATAAAGATCTGCATTTAAATAATAATTCTTGTTGTTTAATTTATGAACTGCACTGAACGCTAAGTGACACCACGCGGATTCCACTCAACATAGGCACAAAGGTTGTCTCCTCTTCACATTGTTCTATTCTTGGTACTGTTTATTACCGAAGAGGGCAGCTATGCATTAGCAAAGGTGAATTGTAAATGGAGAATCGAATGTTATACATATAGCCGATACTCTTTCTCCGACGTCTTTGTGTCGCGATCTTCTAAGAAAATGCGCAACTCACACCCGACACCCTTAACAATAATCATAATTATACGAAAACGGTGTCATGTCTAAGATAAGAGTTTCACGACTCGTCCGATTGAAAAGATGACTTCACGAACGTAGGAACAAGTTTTTGGGCAGCTGTGCAAAGGCTATATTGAAATCTAAATTGGCGCATGAATGAAGCAAGTAAGATCTCATTTGACGGTCCGGATGATAATCCCACTTGTTGCCTTTATCGTGTCGGCAGAACGGTGAAAGTACTCTTCACACGGCACACTCTATTGCAAATTGCTATTTGTAGTAAATTTTGTCTCGTGTCTGAAAGAATACGTCTATAATTCAAAAGCTTGGGTTTGAACGAAACATCTGCTCACGGTGAATCAGATAGAAATCGACGAGTTTTTCTGATGAACAACAGAACAAGTACAGACATAAACGATAGATAAAAGTTAGTGTTCTTACCTCTGAATACACATACAGGATATTTCTGATTCAGTCAAATTCTACGTGAAAAAATGAAATGAAAATATAGGAATAAAGTTTTCTCAAATAAGAATTCGTCGTCGCGAAAATAGATTTTGAAAGCCGTCAGGTTTGTGTACGTTTACAGGAAAGTAGAATTGACCAGTCATGAACAGACGTGACAGAGCAATTAGCATCAGCTGTTTGCTATAGCACTAGCACATGTTCCACGATGAATATTCAGAGTCGATCTTCTCGAAGACTATCGGATCAGAAATGGCCTGTATTATATACACATTAATAAGTGATAAGACTATACATTGCGAGTAGACTGATTATGAATTCAAATCGATGCTCGCACCTATTCGTCGTGCTCAAATCGATAGAAAACTATGCAATAGAACTCTGAAAATGAATAGTATGTTTTTCCAAGAGATTGTTTATCGACCTCATGAGTATTAAGTGAATTGATTTTCGTTGTAAATATAAAGAACATTTTATTGTACTTATCATTGTTGTACAAACGAAAGAATGATAAAACTCTGCTCTACATAATGCATCTTATCCATTTCATTTCATCCAATTTCATAGTAGGTGTATCACAACGTTTGTTTACTATGTTTTATTGCACGGAACTGGTATTTTGTTTACTAACGATTCGTACGTATTGTGTGTTTATTTAGATATCATAAAGTGCGATTAAAGACACGTGACGCCAATCAGCACCAATTTTCACTAATTAGTACCACACTTTCAACGCTAGATGACACCGGCACAATTTTCTATAGAACGACTTGTTGAATTTTCGATACTGTTTACAAAACAATATTATGCGAGAGACTTGGTACGTCGATCGGACCAAAGATAAACAACACTTGTGAAGGACGTGGTGGGTCGTTCCGGTTACGCGTGACCGTTACAGTCGGGAAAAGTCGCGACGCGTGACATTAAATCATAAGGCATGGGGTAAAATAGAGGTCAACGAATAATCATAATCAAAGGAAACACGTGCTTAATTTATACTTTCCATTAAAGTCGTTCAAAATATTCAGCGCGTCGCCATTTAACGGAACACCGGCTAGAAGCACTATACTAATTAACTAGCAGTTTGAGCCTTTTGCCGTCGATGGCGCCACATATTCTTTTCATCAAAAGTTAGTCACAAACGCTGCAGATTCACGATAATATAATTACATCGAGGCCCTATTTGCCTGCTATTAATCATATCTAATTATAAAGAAAAAAGGAAACCTTGATTACTTTGTGCTATTACACACTGAATTGAAGCTGTCTATTTGCCGACGAAATTAGGGTAGGCTTCAGAAGATAGTTACTATGGCCCACGTATTTTTTCTATTAGGGACAAGCGACGCTTGTCACTGTTATGCACAAAACCTGTTACCGTCGATAAAAAAAAAGAACGAGAAAAAATGTACGAAAGCTTGACGAAGCACCGATCGAAAAGTTTCGAGTCTAGCCTCGTGTAACCGTTGAGAAGCACTTTCGTAAGCGGCGCCCATAAGAGTGACGCGCACCGCGTTTTCGTATTGCGCATGGTCGTTTCGCCATAGAGGGAGCAACTCGCCTAACTCGATTAACCAAACCCGCGGATCGCTACGTTCCGAGAGACAGACGTCTACTCTCACTGCTCTCACTCTCGAGTTGCGGAGTTGCTGTCTTTCTGGCATCGAGATATCATCGCTGCTTCACTCTCACTCCCATGTCTCCGATGCATCTGATCCCGCGACATCCCGAAATGTACGGTGAAGTGTTTATGTAGTATCCGCTGCGACCGTAGACACCGTTCACGTGCCAGACGACCAACACCTTATTTCATCCATCGACGTCCCGACATCGACTTCCGACATCGACCCGGAACACCTCGTGGACTCGCTTGACCAAACAAGAAAAATAAACGGGCTCGAACCACCGTTCATTCAACATGGAGCAGAAGCGCCTTTACAAAGTGGTTCTCACCGGAGGTAAGCGAGTACCTTTTTTATTCTTCTTTTTGCGACACCGAACACGATTCAATGTCATGTGCGCCCCGTGTCTCGCATCGTGAACTTCACCTTCGAGCGTGTCTTTCGGCCCGTTAAAACGAATGGACGCTTCCATGCTTGTCCATTCGGATAACCGTTCTCGGCGGGTCTTGTTTCGAATTCGGAGTCGACGACACGTTACGCGTCCGCCAGCGAACCACGTGTTCGCACGACATTTTTCACGGTACATTTCGTCGCTCCGTTTCGTCACGCTTTCCTTCAAACGGAACACGATTTTTCCGCGAGATCCGTTCGTTACCCTGACACGCCGCACGCGAGTTTATCGCCCGCAATAATCTACGCTGTTGTCCACATTAATTTCTGGAATGCTACACATTTCAAACAAATATATTTCACGAACGATTTTTCGGTGTAGAAATCTATCGATAAGATTTTTGTCGATGATTCCGTTGCATCGAAGAGTTCAACAATCTCTCTTTAAGTAACAGCTGACATGAAAATATTGCATCGCGTCGGTGACTCTTCTCTCAATTGGCATTGCTGTTGACAGATTCATTAAGAGATCCTTAACGAAGATAATGACACAGCTGAGAAATTTTCATTCTACGTTTCGATTCCGATAGATAACAGATCATTCTCGTTGGCTCTTTCACGAGGGAAATTACATTTTTAAATTAACGAACTCCAGCTGTGCATATTTACGTATCGACTGTCGCCGATGCCGATTCGTTTGGTCCAAAGGTCAGCCGGTTAACAGGTTAACTCGCAAGCGTGTGCGGAGTGGAACGGAAAATCGAGAAACTATGGTCACCCGAATCTTGCTTTATCGGTTCTGCGGTCGAAACCGATGAATGCCACAGATTACACAAGAGTCGTCTGGCAATGTACGTCATGGTAAATATTGTTCCAGCGAAAACCGTAGTCACGCGTCGAACCTTGTGTAACCAATCAAAATCTATTCAAAATTATGTTGCATTTTCCGGTTATAAAATCGATGCAACATTGCATCAAAAAATTGAATATATCGATATTTTTGGAAGAACTAATTTGTTCGAACAGGCGCAGTACAAGAATTACACAAGGACCAATTGTTGCTTTTCTCTTGTAAAACAATTGCACTTTGTACTTCCGGCAATATTCGTAGAATATCGAGTTTACAAATGAAGTAAAAGTAAAAATCGAATGCGCACAGCTGAATCGGAAGGGTTGATCTGCAAAAGGAAATAAAATAGCGAGCATGATGGTTGATATTTCGCGTTGATGGTCGTCTCCTCTTTTGCAGACTAAGTTTCGTTGACGAATAAACTGTTGTGTTATGTTAAAACGGTCGCGCGCGACATATTCTTGTTAACCCGTTGACATACCATTTTCTTCGCATTTACTGCGATTAGAAATTGTTCGATTCTAATAATTTCTTAGAAAGAAAAAGAAATTAATGCTTATTGTGCACCTAAATTTACTCGAATGCTTAAATATTGACGACAAAAGAATAGAATTTTATTGCAATTTTAAAGGACAAAATAACACATCTATGCTCGATGAGTTAATAATAGAAATTTTCATAACGAGTCGGACTCGCGTCAAAGTACGGCAAGGGGTTAATAAATCGACTAAAGTATATTAATGCGGTGAATCTCTGCGTGGGAAACTAAGTCAACGCGAGGTTTAAATGAACAAAAAAACAGATATATTCGAGTACAAATAAAGTAAAAAAGTAAAAATCGACTGCGCGCACACACAGCTGAATCGGAAGGTGCAACAAGCACGATGCGCCGGGCAATAAAATCGCCGCGAAAGCGATTCGAAATACATTGTTTCGAACGGGATGCAACCGGCTTGAAAACATTGACAGTTGAACGCGTCTAAATTTAAATCGGGCGAAAACGCATGTCCCGACACGTTTACATGGCATCTTGACAGTGCATTTGCCAGGCAAAAAAGAAAATTGATTTACTGGCCGCATGCTCGCGGCGCGTTAAACGTTCGAGCGAGATACGAAAATTCCGCATTTTTTAAAGCGAACACGTAATAACGGGTCATCGGTTGCGCAACGAAAACTGCGCCCGAGGTGCTCTCTCCAGACGATTACCGTTTATTTACCCGCTAATGCGGCCAGTTTAGCTGGTACCGTTTACGTCGATATTGCCGTGCGAAAATTGCTAAAATATCCCATCGCGCGACTCCGTTTTAAAATATCGTTCGATTAAACGGGCTCGAATTGCTGTCATAATTGTCCGCCGACATTTTTGCCGCCCGTGCTGCAAATAAAAAGATAACGACCGGTATACCCCCGGCACGCAACTCGATCGTTTCGGATCGTCTCGGATCGAACCGCCTCGAAGCGTGTCGTACAAACCGTGAATTAACCTTTCCAATTGATCCCAAAACGCTGCTCGCACCGCGGACGTTCGACCGATTTCCAACGCGTTACTTATCGCTCAGGCGAACGTTTTATTCGTGCCGTGATAAACAACCCCTAAAAATGTATCTGCGGCGGCGGCGGCGGCGTCGATTTACTTTTCGCGTTCAGCTGCCAAGGAATCTGGATCGATCGGCGATCGTCAATATTTGCGACGGAAATCGCACCGGTCCATTATTATCGCTGCTCGAAATTGGTTTCGCACCGAACAGAACACCGCGTTCACCCGACAGTTTTCTATACAAATAGTCATGTCACGAGCTCTCGCAGTTGCATCTACCATTTGACGAATAATTACTTCCTCGGCGGCAATGTTCTCGTTGACGTTTTAATTTCAATGACGTCTGTTTACATTTTCACTGACCTTCCGCTTTCGTCGACGTCCGGTTTCGCGTCGACATTCTATTTTCGTCGATTGTTTATATATACAAAATACATTATGTATCTCGGACTCTTATATAGCGAGAAACAATCGCGATTTCGTGTACTCCNAATTGTTGCTTTTCTCTTGTAAAACAATTGCACTTTGTACTTCCGGCAATATTCGTAGAATATCGAGTTTACAAATGAAGTAAAAGTAAAAATCGAATGCGCACAGCTGAATCGGAAGGGTTGATCTGCAAAAGGAAATAAAATAGCGAGCATGATGGTTGATATTTCGCGTTGATGGTCGTCTCCTCTTTTGCAGACTAAGTTTCGTTGACGAATAAACTGTTGTGTTATGTTAAAACGGTCGCGCGCGACATATTCTTGTTAACCCGTTGACATACCATTTTCTTCGCATTTACTGCGATTAGAAATTGTTCGATTCTAATAATTTCTTAGAAAGAAAAAGAAATTAATGCTTATTGTGCACCTAAATTTACTCGAATGCTTAAATATTGACGACAAAAGAATAGAATTTTATTGCAATTTTAAAGGACAAAATAACACATCTATGCTCGATGAGTTAATAATAGAAATTTTCATAACGAGTCGGACTCGCGTCAAAGTACGGCAAGGGGTTAATAAATCGACTAAAGTATATTAATGCGGTGAATCTCTGCGTGGGAAACTAAGTCAACGCGAGGTTTAAATGAACAAAAAAACAGATATATTCGAGTACAAATAAAGTAAAAAAGTAAAAATCGACTGCGCGCACACACAGCTGAATCGGAAGGTGCAACAAGCACGATGCGCCGGGCAATAAAATCGCCGCGAAAGCGATTCGAAATACATTGTTTCGAACGGGATGCAACCGGCTTGAAAACATTGACAGTTGAACGCGTCTAAATTTAAATCGGGCGAAAACGCATGTCCCGACACGTTTACATGGCATCTTGACAGTGCATTTGCCAGGCAAAAAAGAAAATTGATTTACTGGCCGCATGCTCGCGGCGCGTTAAACGTTCGAGCGAGATACGAAAATTCCGCATTTTTTAAAGCGAACACGTAATAACGGGTCATCGGTTGCGCAACGAAAACTGCGCCCGAGGTGCTCTCTCCAGACGATTACCGTTTATTTACCCGCTAATGCGGCCAGTTTAGCTGGTACCGTTTACGTCGATATTGCCGTGCGAAAATTGCTAAAATATCCCATCGCGCGACTCCGTTTTAAAATATCGTTCGATTAAACGGGCTCGAATTGCTGTCATAATTGTCCGCCGACATTTTTGCCGCCCGTGCTGCAAATAAAAAGATAACGACCGGTATACCCCCGGCACGCAACTCGATCGTTTCGGATCGTCTCGGATCGAACCGCCTCGAAGCGTGTCGTACAAACCGTGAATTAACCTTTCCAATTGATCCCAAAACGCTGCTCGCACCGCGGACGTTCGACCGATTTCCAACGCGTTACTTATCGCTCAGGCGAACGTTTTATTCGTGCCGTGATAAACAACCCCTAAAAATGTATCTGCGGCGGCGGCGGCGGCGTCGATTTACTTTTCGCGTTCAGCTGCCAAGGAATCTGGATCGATCGGCGATCGTCAATATTTGCGACGGAAATCGCACCGGTCCATTATTATCGCTGCTCGAAATTGGTTTCGCACCGAACAGAACACCGCGTTCACCCGACAGTTTTCTATACAAATAGTCATGTCACGAGCTCTCGCAGTTGCATCTACCATTTGACGAATAATTACTTCCTCGGCGGCAATGTTCTCGTTGACGTTTTAATTTCAATGACGTCTGTTTACATTTTCACTGACCTTCCGCTTTCGTCGACGTCCGGTTTCGCGTCGACATTCTATTTTCGTCGATTGTTTATATATACAAAATACATTATGTATCTCGGACTCTTATATAGCGAGAAACAATCGCGATTTCGTGTACTCCGATCGGGCCGGCAATTTTCTGCGATGCCTTCACAGCAATCTGGAAACTAAATTCGCGACGTTCCATCCATTCGATTCGTATATCAGACGAAATAGCGGCGAACGAACGGTTGCAGATTATCGATTCGAACGGTAGCTCCAATTACGCATCTCTAATTGTATAAGATTGTTAGCGGAAGGTGAAGGTCGCGAATCGTACGCCCGATGGTTCCAGAAGCGCGCGCGCGGCGCATCATAAAAAGTCCCGTCGTTCGTCTTTAATTAATTGGTCGAATTAACTGCGCCGTTCCGCCGCGTGCTGAACTCCGAAGTCCGTTCCACTTCGAGGCACCTTGGATGAACAGCAGACGCGTTACATCGTTACACATTTCGCGAAGCCATGTAATTATCCGGCGTTGCAGATGAAATCACATTAAAGTGCTTTGAGACTCTGCCGGGGGGCCCGTTCGGTTTCGTCGCCGCGTCGGCGAAGGCTTCCGATCGCATTTCCGACAAAATAGCCTAATTAGATTCCTCGTTTCGGAGTTATTTGCGTACATCGGCGGCCGACAGCTTAGGCGCCGCGAAAAGGCAGATGCCGTCGGCGGACGACCGAGCCGTCCTCTTCTTTTTTTCTTTTTTTCGCAAGTCAAGCTCGGATGCGGTTCTCCGGACGAACAATGGCCGTCCATGCGAAATAAACGGGTGGCCCGGGTGCACGCATTCGAGCTGCAACTTTGTGCGCAGCTGGTCGGACATAGAGAGAGCGGGCTCGTTATTGACTCGTAACTGGTTTGAATTGTTTCTCCCTGGTTCGAACGAGATCACGTCGATGAGACGCGCACGGTACATTATGCCATAAGCTCGCAGTCGGCGGTGCACCTTTTCGCCGTCTCCTATCACGCTCATTGAAACTGGACGGGTTTTTACCAGGGTCGCGCCGGGTGTTCCCGATGTTTTCGAAGCTGTTTTCGAAAATGCGATTTGCTTCCCGCAAATCTCTAGCATCAACGGCGACCCGTTTCGGTCGAAGCGCGCAGGTCCCGCATTTAACAGCATCGCGAAATGCAAAATAACTTTCCCCTCTTTCAATCTGTGAACCCCTGCTTTTCGCCGCGGGCTCGTAAGAACCGAATGGAAGAAGAGCGGAGAATCGCGTGAAAGAAATACCAGCCGTTCAAACGGATTTCGCTAACAGAATATGTCTTCCATTCACAAGCGGGTCGAGGTAGCAAACTGGGTTGCAGCCGATCGCATCCCGCGATTCAGTTATTTCTATTTGCGCTGGCCGAGTTCAACGGCCGCGTGGGTATCGCGGAAGTCAAGGTTAGCGACATCGTGACCTTCCCGTCTCGCTTTCGTTTCAGCAAGAATAACGCGGACTACCTTCCCCGTCGATCTAGACGCGGTCCCGTCCGCCTCGACTCCACGATCTTCCAGCGCGGAGCAATTAACGCCACATTACTCTCAGTCTCGCGGAGTTAATCGAGAGACAGACTCGTTTAGCCCGCGATGAAAATTCATCTAGATTTCCGAAATCTACCGTGGCGATGAAAATGACCGGTTTCATGATTTTTATTTGTTGGTATTATGGAGACTTTTTCGTAGAATATAATCGAACGAATATCGCGAGCCGAGCGTATTAATTATAATAAAAACGGCGGAAAGTTTAAATCAACTCGGTATTATTTTTCTTGCCAAGTATTACACGTTGGTTATTTTGATTGTCCGGTAAGTTCGCCGTTAAGAAAGCGAAAACGGGCCGAAGCATCGGCCTGGCATCTTTTACACGGCTATTTCCGAGGTTACCGACAGAATGGGAACGTTTCCTAAAAAGAAATCGACCGGCGGCAGCGAGGCGATAGACAGCGGCGGTGACTAACGCGACACGTATTTTTCTGTTGCAGGACCTTGCGGCGGCAAAACGACCGGACAGATGCGGCTGTGCACGTTCTTCGAGAACATGGGATGGAAGGTAGGCACGCTCCTCGTTCCTTTTACTTTGCATTCGTGCGAAACAAAACGAAGAAGGAAAGAAGGAAAGAAAGAAAGAAAGAGCGATATACACGGGACAAGAAACTTGTCCCCGCGAGTATCTCATGTTCACGACTCGACTCGAAAACGCACCCCAAACAGTTCAAAGCTCGAGGCTCGCTCGAGTGCCCTTTGATTTCGACCGATTATATCGCCGCATAAAATCTGTTGCCTCGCCACACAATCGTCCCGAATTTACCAGAGATATCTCTCCCGCGATCATCTAGCAATGACCGCGTTATTGGCGAATTTCCACGTGCACGCGCACGTTTTCTTTGTTGCGCTGTGCCAAATGAAACCGTGTTGGCCGCGATCAATTAACGAGATCTATTCGAGACGGAGAGAAAGAGAGAGAGAGAGAGAGAGAAAAGAGAGAAAGAAAAAAAGAGAGAGAGGGAGCAAAAGAAAATTGGAACTGATTTTGGGGGTTTTATCACCCTTCGTTGTGAATTCGATAGAGCGCTGGTTGTCTTCTTTTTCAGGTGTTCCGTGTTCCCGAGACAGCGACCGTGCTGCTCAGGTATGCAATCACACGATAACAAATTTAACGCGACCGGGACACAGGGAGAGGCTTTAGGCGAGGCCTAGACGAAGGCGCGATCGCGAATCGTTCGCGGATCTATCGCGCGCGGCTCGGAAAACCGACGCTTTCCACGATCTCGCGGATAATCCGAGTCCGAGGATCGGCCGTAGAAATTGATGGAAACACGATGGTTTTCGTTCCCGCGGGGGATTGCTTCGCGTTCGTTCGCCCATTGTCGGTGCAACAGATCGAGCGACGTTCTACGACCGTGACCAAATGTAAACCGAGACCGGCGACTCGGGTCTGAAAAGATCGACCGAGGCTGGCTCTCCGAGTCGAATACCGAGCCCTCGGTTGCTCTAAACAGACTCGGTGTCTCGCGACAGGCAAAAATTTGTTGTTCCACCGACGGTACCGTTCGAGCTTTCGCCGGGATCTTGTTCCGCCGCCTCTCCCAGTGTCGAGTCACCACAAAATTCATTGATCGAGAGACACAACGAGTCCGTACTAATAGATACCGTTCCAAAATGTACATAAAATAACGATCCGACTGTGAGCACACACGTGTGTAACCAGGCTTCGACAAATTCTCCTGGAACTAAGGATCAGTCAGTTCGAAATCATGAATTTTCGGCTCGATTTACTACGGTTTAGGATACCACGGTAGAAAACCGACTTTATTTTCAGCCGTAACGAGTAGAATATCAAGGGTCGCTCTCGAGATTATTCGTGATTCAAGCATCCGCTCGAAAAGATGTTTCATCGATATTTTCGTCAGAGACACACGCTTTGAGGAACGTTCTTTTCCGTTTCTTCCGTCTTTTTTTTTTTTTTTTCAAATGACAAAACGAGGGAGAACGACGTTCGTTCGTGTACTAAACTATAACGTAAAGCTTGCTCTAACGTTTCGCCTGTCGGAGGCCGACGAACAAGGTCGAGGAGATCGTTGTTTCTATCGAGGAATTGATTATCGAAAGGTTGGTCGTCTTCGCGCATATTCGACGCGGCCGACGGCTGCGACGAACGACGGAAACCTTCCCCGACGGTCGAATCAATGGAATCGAAAGAGCATTTTGAACGCGGTGCGGTGTTAACACCGGGAACGTTCGTTAGGCGAACGCGTTCTGCTGCACGCACTCGCGGACACCGCGATTCTTCCTCGAAAAAATAAACGGGGCGCCCGGCATGTCGGATCTTCTTCCCCGATATAAAGTTGCTCGAAACATTGCCGGGCACATTGTTGTCCGACGGGACTATAGAAACGCGGCGCCGAGGACAACATGCACACGATAACTTCTCTTTTAGTTTCGTAGCTCGCGAGAGAGAGAGAAAAAAAGAGAACGTTCGCTGGCTCCGAATATTTGATCCTCCCACAGCTTTATTTTTACCAAGTGTTTCATCCCACGTCTGCTTTTCCATTTCAGCGGCGGCATAAAGTTTTCAGACCTGAACGCTGAAGAGGGTAAGTCCACTTTCAACTTATCATTCCGTTACACCGTATCCTAGCTTACCGTTTCTTAGCTTCGCCGCGGTCGTTTCGCGGAACGACGCGTGGGCGGCCTGTTTTCGTCTCGGATTCGCGTCCTCGCTGGCTCGACCTTGCGGACCGGGGGAGGAAACGTGCTCCTGAAATCCGCTGACCCCGCCGAAACGGAGAGAGAAAGAGAGACCGGTCGGCAGAAGTCGCGGGCCAGCGTGGACGCCGCTCGATTCCGCGTCCCGTTGAAAAAGAAAAAAAAGTAAAAAAAAACTATTCACGTTTTATCTGTTCCCGGGCTTTCGTTCCGCCGATCTACCCCCGGTGTTCGGTCCTTCGTTGATCGTTTCCGAGTCTACGACACAGAGCGAATCTATCGCGACGCAAAATTTCTGTACGATTCCCACGCCCGTGAATCGGCCTAAACTGGTTATCGACTGGTTATTGAGACACGCCCGTCGAGGTTTCATGCCTTTTTTTCTTGCCTGTTATGCAAACCCTGCGATCGATTATCTGCGCGTCGCACTTCGCGGATCGAAGACAGCTGCAATCGCCGGCGAAGATCAGGGTTCGCGGAGCCGTCCGAAGTAGACCGTGCTCGAAATACTAGTTTAGAATTTGTCTCACCTTATCGCTCGGCTTCTAAAGAAAAATAGACAATATCGAAGGAGATGGTACGATCATTCGAGCCTCGCGGCTCGTTTTTATAATCGCCGATTATCAACAACTCGAACGCGAGGCTCGAATAATCGTGTCTCTCCTCTTCTCAGGTCGCCCATTTTTGTTTACAAACCGAGGGACGATGCGAGATAAATTACCGTACACGACTGCGTCAGATAACCCGATAAAACCGCGATCACTTCGTCTACTAAAAATTTTGGGTCCCGATCGCCGGCGAGAATTCCCACTCGAGTGAAAATAGCTCGGGGTGCTCGGCGCGATAGCAACAGGCAGCATCGTACCAGCGCTTCGTATAGACACTGGTTCTTTCGCTGCGAGTTCTCCTGCCCGCGACTTCCAAAGAATCGACGCGCCACGCAACTCCGGGACACGACCCGCGCGCGTTATCGCGCGATTACGTCGCCGGATTCAGGGGTTTTCGGAGGGACACGACAATGTCACGACGGTATCGATCGACGGCCTACACGCCGTACGCCTCTCGAGCCCTCCCGTTTCATCCCTTGGCCGCTCAAGTATAGTGGATATCGTTGCGTATGCGTCGACCGTCGCGGTAATATCGGCGAAACTTTCCATTAGTCCGCGGGAAACCCGAGGGCTTGTCCTTCAGAATAGAAATTCTCTGTTCGCCGCGACCGCGGGACGCCTTTACTTGCCTCGGCTTTCAGCCCGCGAGACGCCCGCATTTCGAGAAATTAGCCCCTTCGCGCGATCTCACGCATTTTTTTTTTTCATTGCCACGCGAAAGACGACGGGTTTCTGCGCAGCGTCTTTTTAACCCTCGCCGTGACACTCGATGTCATCTGAAGTTTGCCTGAAAAAAATGTACGGCAAGATAATAGTAGTAATAATAATAATAATAACAATAATGATGATAATAGTAACAAAATTTTAGTTCGAAATGTTTGTGTGCGTGTACGAAAGGTCATGGGTCCGTTTGGACCCAATCATTGGGCTTCGCGCGAACCGCTGGTACTGCGAGGGTTAAAGAACAAATTTATAATTTTCATACCTTGTCTCCCTCGTTGCTCAACAATCGAAGAATATCTGTAGTTTCGTGGCGAGAACGAGGGAACAGATTCTAATCGAGCAGTTCCGGCCCTCTTCGCTTAATTGGGGCCGCTCCTTGCAGAACACAAGACTTGGCGAGTCGAAAATAAACGGAATCTGCTATATTTCGTCTCGCATTTCATAAGAATGTTTCTTTTCTCGTCGCTTGCGTTCGTCGTAAACTTCGCGCGCGCGCTGCAAAGCCTTATCGTTGTCGGTGCACGAGTCTTCGGTCATAAAAGGTGCAAGAATCGTGACTATACCGCTTTTTTAGAAGATATCGTGTCGTTGTGCATTTGCTTCGTTTCCGGGTATAATTAACATCGTATCTATCGAGTGAGATATTAGATTTTGTTATTCTTTTATTTCGTTTATTTTTTAATACGAACATTTTTGAACGCGTTACATCCTTTTTATCCTTTCGTTTCGTTTGCTTTTTGATACAAACATTTTCGAACGCGTTACTTTTTTGTATCCTTTCGTTCATTTTTCAATACAAACATTTTCGAACGCGTTATATCTTTGTTATCCTTTGATTTCGTTTATTTTTCAATGCAAATATTTTTGAACGCGTTACTTTTTTTTATCCTTTCGTTCATTTTTCAATACAAACATTTTTGAACGCGTTACATCTTTTTCATCCTTTGATTTCGTTTATTTTTTCAATGCAAATATTTTTGAACGCGTTACATTTTTTTATCCTTTCATTTCGTTTGTCTTTTAGTACAAACATTTTTTAACGCGCTACATTTTTTATCCTTTCATTTCGTTTGTTTTTTAATACAAACATTTTAGAACGTATTACATCTTTCTTATCCTTTGATTTCGTTTATCTTTTTATACAAACATTTTTGAACGCGTTACATCTTTTTTATCTTTTCATCTCGTTGATCTTTTAACACAAACATTTGAGCCGTTTATTTTGAAAGTGGCATAAGTCACTTTTTCAAAAAAATCGAGTTAATGGTAACACTAATTACAATTGAACGGTATCTTCTCATTTAAAAAAAAAAAACGTGACTTATGCCACTTTCAAAATAAACGGCTCATTTCTAAACGCATTACATCTTTTTATCCTTTCATGTCGTTTACTTTTTAATACAAGCATTTTCGAACGCATTCGATCGTATTATTCTTTTATTTTCGAATGAAGAAATTCAATGTGTCTCGTTCGATAAATATAAGGTTAATTATACGCGAAAACAAATCGAAAGCACAGAGCTTGGTCAGCTGTCAGTAACCGACTCCACTAACCTATTTAAACCGGAGAGCTTCGAGTCTTGGATCGATGGTCAGCCATCGAGAATGATCGAGGACGCGAGCGCGGGGGATAGTCGTCCGCGCACGATCGTCGATCGCAGTTTCGCTTGAAATCCAATAGTAAAGTGGATTGTAACAAGGGGTTGCAGGCAAATGACGCAACGTTGCGTTACGTTGTGCCAGCGAATTTTCTCGGTGAACGGTGGAAAACCGGGGAAAAACAGGCTCTCGAGGACGAGGAGAGGTTTCCGGTCGGGTTGCGCGGAACGCGGAAAGGACGAGACACGGGCTAATTATAGCCGGTGAAAGAGACGCAGAAAGAAAAACGTGTACGTGTGCGAATATTATCGGCGGCCTGTCGCGGGTGGACCGGGCCAGAATAATAGCCTAAACGTATAACTATCGACCGTCGATTGCGTAAAATCGTAACCGGCTGCGGCTGCCAAGATTCTTGGACCGCGATCGTGTGTGTCACGAGACCCACGGTCTTTCGAGCAACACGAGATCGCCGGTTCGACACTTCAAGCCGGGACGAACCAAAAAATAGATCTTTTCTAAGTTTTCTTGGGTATACGACAGTAAAAACTGCAGCAAGAAACCGAAATAGAATACTTGACTCCCGTGCTGGATTCGTGTCAACATGATCCGCGGATTTCAATCTCTGTTCTCTCGTTGCGCGAACAATGAAAACGATTAGCTCATCGAATCCCGAGAATTTGATATTGTATCACCGTGCCGTATCGTCGATTGGTTACAATTGTCCGCATTCCAAGCACTTTTTTTATCGGCAGACTTTCTCAAAACGCTCGTCTATAATCGAACTCGCGCGCGCACCTTTCGCTTTTCAATAGGTCACCGGTCCAGCTCCTTACTTTTTTCCCGATCGAGTCACGCTCTCTTCCGGGACACGCTTCTGCGACTAGATCCAAGATCAAGGCTGCTCGATTGTCCGCCGTTACGCAATATGTACTCGCGATTACGTTATCGCTACTGTTTTTCTGAGAGAAAAAAGTTCATTCAAGATATTTTTACGTGCAACCGTATCTTGATTTATCGAACCGTCGAGGACTTTTATTGTCTGTTCCTCGGATCCGTGACGACTCCGACAGATTCTTTTCTCACGTATAAATAGTCCCGTCTATTATTATCGATATAAAGGAATTCTTTGTCTCGTAAACGCGGCACCTGTACGCTCGCGAAATTGCGATCGAAGCAAGAATCCTTCGCGACTAAGCTTATTGTACCGCGACGGTGATGCTTCCAATTTCGAGCGANTTCAATACAAACATTTTTGAACGCGTTACATCTTTTTCATCCTTTGATTTCGTTTATTTTTTCAATGCAAATATTTTTGAACGCGTTACATTTTTTTATCCTTTCATTTCGTTTGTCTTTTAGTACAAACATTTTTTAACGCGCTACATTTTTTATCCTTTCATTTCGTTTGTTTTTTAATACAAACATTTTAGAACGTATTACATCTTTCTTATCCTTTGATTTCGTTTATCTTTTTATACAAACATTTTTGAACGCGTTACATCTTTTTTATCTTTTCATCTCGTTGATCTTTTAACACAAACATTTGAGCCGTTTATTTTGAAAGTGGCATAAGTCACTTTTTCAAAAAAATCGAGTTAATGGTAACACTAATTACAATTGAACGGTATCTTCTCATTTAAAAAAAAAAAACGTGACTTATGCCACTTTCAAAATAAACGGCTCATTTCTAAACGCATTACATCTTTTTATCCTTTCATGTCGTTTACTTTTTAATACAAGCATTTTCGAACGCATTCGATCGTATTATTCTTTTATTTTCGAATGAAGAAATTCAATGTGTCTCGTTCGATAAATATAAGGTTAATTATACGCGAAAACAAATCGAAAGCACAGAGCTTGGTCAGCTGTCAGTAACCGACTCCACTAACCTATTTAAACCGGAGAGCTTCGAGTCTTGGATCGATGGTCAGCCATCGAGAATGATCGAGGACGCGAGC